ATCTTCTACGAGTGTTCGGATTGCAATATGAGTTATTTTGTCGCATTTGATGATTATGGTTAATTTATACTTATTTTTATGATGATTGTGATTAAAGTTCTAATTTTTTGTTTTAATTTCAGTGGGATGGCACTGGATGTTCAGGCTGGTACTGGGAAGAAGAGTATGTTGAACACGTGCAAAACTCTCTTGCATAGGCGACTATGGCAGCTGATGAGGCAGTGATCCTGCGGAAGAAGCCCATAGATGTTGAACAAATGCATGCTCTGTGTGTTTTAGTTGGGATTGGTCGCGAAATCCTTATGCTGCTGAAGTGTATTTTAGCTTTAGTTTTTTTAGTGGTAGTTGTGATTGTCTACATTGTAGCGAGACTTTCATAAATTAATACCTTATGTGCTGGCATGCATGTCGTATAATTAACTAATTATGTTCTAGGTTTTAATATGGTATGTATGTCATGTAATGCAGATGAGCCAGCATTGGATGTATAATGCTGATCGCCGCTCCCAAGAGTTCATTGAGGGTGTGCATTCTTTCTTACGTGTGGCCGAGGCAAACAAACGCAATGGTTTCATGTGCTGCCCATGTGCCATATGTAAGAATTTGAAGGAATATGCTGGCTTAAGGAGTCTTCATTCACACTTGTTGAAGTCGGGTTTTATGCCAAACTATATTTGTTGGACGAAGCACGGAGAAACCAGGGTTGTAATGGAAGAAGGTGAAGAAGAACAATGGGATGATGATGACATTATTGCTGAATATGGTGCCTTCAATGATACTGCAATGGAGGAAGCTGAAGAAGAGGTAGTGGCAGAAGTTGAGCCCACTGATGATCTTGGTCAGGCCATTTGTGACGCACAAAGAGAATGTGAAAGTGTAAAGGAGATGATCAAGTTCGAGCGCATGCTAGAAGATCACAAGAAATTGCTATACCCAACTTGTGATGCGGGGCAAAAAAAGTTGGGTACCACACTGGAATTGCTGCAATGGAAGGCAAAGAATGGTGTATCTGACAAGGGTTTTGGGGAGTTACTAAAAATCCAAAAGAAGATGCTTCCGAAGGATAACGAATTGCCCGTTACTACGTACGAAGCAAAACAGGTAGCCTGCCCTTTGGGATTAGAAATCCAGAAGATACATGCATGTCCTAATGACTGCATCCTCTACCGTGGCGAGGAGTACGAGAAGTTAGATGCATGCCCGGTATGTCATGCATCGCGGTATAAGATCACGCGAGATGACCCTGGTGATGTTGAGGGCGAACGTCCCACGAAGAAAATCCCTACCAAGATTATGTGGTATGTTCCTATAATACCACGCTTGAAACGTCTATTCAGAAACAAAGACCATGCAAAGTTTTTGCGATGGCACAAAGAAGACCGTAAGGTAGACAATATGTTGAGACACCCTGCTGATGGGTCCCAGTGAAGAGCAATCGATAGAGAATCCCCGGAGTTTGCAAATGATGCAAGAAACTTAAGGTTTGCTTTAAGTACGGATGGTATGAATCCTTTCGGGGAGCAGAGCAGTAGTCATAGCACTTGGCCTGTTACTCTATGTATCTACAGCCTTCCTCCCTAGTTATGCATGAAGCGTAAGTTTATTATGATGCCAGTGCTCATCCAAGGCCCAAGGCAACCTGACAACGACATCGATGTGTACCTGAGGCCACTCGTTGAAGAACTTCTACTATTATGGAATAGACCAGGTGTACGTGTGTGGGATGAGCACAAATAGGAGCACTTTGACCTGTGAGCATTGTTGTTCGTAACAATCAATGATTGGCCTACTCTAAGTAATCTTTCAGGACAATCAAACAAGGGATATAATGCATGCACGCACTGTTTCGATGACATTAAAGGTATATTCTTGAAAAAATGTCAAAAGGTCGTATACCTTGGCCATCATCGATTTCTTCCTGTGAATCACTCCCTAAGAAAGAAAGGCAAGCATTTTAAAGGTAAGGCAGACCACTACACCAAGCCGGGCAACCGAACTGGTGAGGATGTAGTCAATATGGTTAAGGATGTGAAAGTAGTATTTGGAAAGGCACATGGCGGTGAACCTGTTCTGAACGATGCCGATGGTCACGCACCCATGTGGAAGAAGTCGATATTTTGGGAGCTACCCTATTGGCAAGTCCTAGAGGTCCGTAGAGCGATCGACGTGATGCACCTGACGAAGAATCTTTGTGTGAACGTGCTAGGCTTCATGGGTGTGTATGGGAAGCCTAAGGACACACTTGGAGCACGACAGGACCTACGGTGTTTGAAAGAACGAGACAACCTACATCTAGAGAAGACAGATGATGGACGCCATTACTTAAGTCCTGCCAGCTACACTCTTAGCAAAGAAGAGAAGGAAAGCATGTTTGAATGCTTAGCAAGCATCAAGGTACCATCTGGATTCTCCTCGAATATAAAGGGTATAATAAATGTGCCAGAGAAGAAATTCCTAAACTTAAAGTCCCATGACTGCCACGTGCTCATGATGCAATTGCTTCCAGTTGCATTAAGAGGAATTCTACCTCCAAATGTACGTCTAGCCACCATGAAGCTATGTGCATTCCTCAATGTAATTTCTCAGAAGGCAATCGATCCAATGGATCTAGCTAAACTATAGAATGATGTGATTCAATGTCTTGTTAGCTTTGAGTTGGTGTTCCCTCCTTCCTTCTTTAATATCATGACACACCTCCTAGTTCACCTGGTCAAGGAGATTAGCATTATCGGTCTTGTGTTCCTGCACAACATGTTCCCCTTTGAGAGGTTCATGGGAGTCCTAAAGAAATATGTTCATAACCGTGCTCGGCCAGAAGGAAGCATCGCCAAGGGCTATGGAATAGAGGAGGTCATTGAGTTTTGTGTAGACTTTATTCCCAACCTTGACCCGATTGGTGTTCCTGAATCGCGACACGAGGGGAGACTAAGTGGAAAGGGGACACTAGGGAAGAAATCATATATTGGTACGCAGGACAATTATTTTATATAAAGCACACTACATAGTTCTGCAAAACTCCTTGGTGGATCCGTATATTGAGACACATAAAGAGTTGCTCCGATCCAAGTTTCTAGGGAAGTCTAAAGCTTGGATTACGCATCAGCACATGGAAACTTTCAGCGACTGGTTGCAAAAAGAATGTCAGGGTGATGAGAGTATTGATGAGCAACTGTATTTGTTGGCTAGGCAGCCATCGTGGCATATCCTCACATACAAAGGGTACGAGATAAATGGGAATACATTTTACACAGTAGCCCAAGATAAAAGGAGCACCACCCAAAACAGTGGTGTCCGCATAGATGCCACCGACCCTAATGGAAATAAGCAAACATATTATGGCCGCATAGAGGAGATATGGGAACTAAACTATGCACCTACTTTTGAGGTAACTTTGTTCAAGTGCCAATGGGTAAAGGCGACTGGAGGCGGGGTAGCAGTCGACAACCAGTATGGAATGACAACTGTGGACCTCAACAATATTGGGTATAAAGACGAACCGTTCGTCCTTGCCAAGGATGTGAATCAGGTGTTCTATGTCAAGGACATGTCTACAAAACCGAAGAGAGGGAAAAACAACAACGACCCAATCAATGAGCCAAAGCGCCACATTGTTCTTTCAGAGAAAAGAAACATTGTCGGAAACGAAGACAAGTCAGACATATCAGAAGATTATGAAAAGGATGACCGAATTCCACCCTTCACAGTGAACAAAGACCCAAGCATCCAGCTAAATGATGAAGACACTCCATGGTTACGGCGCGATCATAACCAAGGGATAAACGTTAAGAAGAAGTTCACTACTGTGCCCGCTTGATATATATAGTGATGTTTAATAGTGTGTATTAGAGGTATTATGTAATAATTGTGAATTCAGAGATGTTTATTAGGTGTTTCCTTTTTTTCTATATTCAGATTAAATTTGTGTTTGATGGTGGGATTTCCATGTCGCACAAAGCAAAAAGCAAAAGCAATGCATCTGAAGTGAAAAAATTAGTGAAAAAATTGTTTTAGTCCCGGCTTGATATGGTGATGTATTAGACCTATTATGTAATAATTGCGACTTCAGATTTTTTTGTCATGTTTTCGTATTTTCTACGGTTTGAATGAATTTTGAACGTCAATAAGATGTGAAAACTAATTTCCTGTCGAAAAGCAATAGTTTTAATGATTTTAATTAAGTAGTACATTTTTGCATGGTGAAAATTATGATTATTATTTACACTATATTAAATATTTATACGGTAAAACAATAGAGTTTAGGTTATAGATTTTTCTTATGTACAATAATGCAAAACCAGGTCCAGGAATTCTTTTTGTAATTTTTTTGCTAATATTTTATTTACTAGGCAATTAACAACTCTCGGCATATTTATATAAAACAAATATATAAAAAGGAAAAACTTATAGAAACCGGCGGGAAGCCAAACTGCAGCCCACCTTTACTCCCGGGTGGATCAACCACCCGGGACTAAAGGTGGGCTGCGTTTTCGTGGCCCGCCAAAATCCCCTTTACTCCCAGGCCGTGGCAACACCCGACAAGCGTAAACTCGAGTATTTCAAAATCCCTGGCTTGTACTCAAATAAAAGGGCCGTACCCAGTGTAGAGAGCTCCCGCTCTGTGCGGGGTCTGGGGAAGGGTGTTAGTGGCAAGCCCTACCCTCGCCTGTGCAATGCGAGGAGACCGCGACTCGAACCCGGGACCTTCCGGTCACAGGCGGTAAGACTCTACCACTTGCACCAGGCCCGCCCTTCTGGCTTGTACTCAAATGTGCAGATAAAATCATAAGACAATACTCCGTTGTTTGGGACATACTCAGTTTTCTAATTTGAACACACAACACAATAAACAGAAAAAAATATTTGCCACCAGTATAAAAATTCTTCCTCTAGATGAGTGGAGCATCCAAATTCCGATATGATCCCCACAAGTTATACCAGATCATTTTTTCACTGCAAAGTACCCATTGCGCTAAGAACACACACACACATTGACATGTCCATCAAGCACCCTCCTGCAAAATGTCGAAGTGCATTCCCTGAATCACCAATGGTCCAGAGAACAGAATCACCCCTGTTGCGCAATTCGCCTGAATTCCAACACCAACAACTACCCCCACAGATCACATTCGCCTACTCTGATTTGGGACGCGTTTTTTTTTATTCGGTGATGATCGGCTTCGAGCGTTAAATCGCAGTTGCAGCGGGTCGCGGCGTGCGAGGAGGGCATGGGGTGAGAAGCCTGGCATCCCACATCTAATTGTGGTTATCGAATTTGGTTTAGGTGTTTATTAGCCCTTGATTTAAATGCAGATGAATTACTGTGTGTATTTTCCTAGGTGCACAATGGTTGGAGGCTCTCAGCGGAGGACTTTTTCCTGGGAGACCTAGTACAATTTTGATTGATCCATTATAGTAGAGATATGTAATAGCGAACATTACTCAATCATGCATTTGGTACCATATGGCCTAATATTGTTGAAATAGCTAAGATGGATTAGTAAATAAAATCATAAACCTTCCTTTTAAAAAGAGAACCCTTATCTAGTAAAGTAATGCTGCCAAGTGTGTATATGAATCCCCATGGTTGCAAGTCCGCTATAACATGAAGGAACTGCCCCCAAAATTCAGTGGCCCACAATTGACGCATTTTGTTATTTTGTAGCAAGAACCTATTATGAAAAAGTGACAAACTGTATTTTCCAATGTCAGATATGGTATCCATGATCCTACCACAAATCTAAAGATATGAAAGCAATTTGTTGTTGTTGTTGTTGTTGTTGTTGAAAGCAATTTGTTGAATGAAGCATTGGAATAATAGGAAAGGTAAACCTGCTGGTCATATACTCTGAATAAAGTGTCAGGCTGTGGGCATCCTCCTTGTCTTCCTCTTCTTCCTCAAAATCATCCTGAAGTGCACTTCTTCTCGGTTCTAGAGTTTCAGCATATGGGCTTTGCACCTTAGAGCTGAGAAAGCACGTATGAGTGCACCTGAGAAAGAGCCCATCTGTTCAAACAATCCAGAAAATGCCATACATGAAACAAAATTGATTTTTTCGAGATTTTTTTAAATATGAGCATGCCAATGTAAAATGCCAAAAGCAAAATAATTTTCAAGAGTATGCCGTTGACCCACTGAAATTTGAGTATGCCATTATGACAATGTAATCTGGACAGATGGTGGCAGGAACGGAGGGGCTATACCTGAAGGAGCAATGGCAGGATAGGTCGCCATCGTCCACGGCCGGCCGCCATCCTGCTCGTAAGGCCATATGCCGCGACGGAGGGGGCCGAGGCATGTCGCGACAGAGGGGCCGAGGATGGATCCCTCGTCGTGCTGCCGTGCGGGGGCTCGGCAGCGGTGGAGCGGCCAGCGTCGGGGATGGCAGGATGGGTGAGTGCAGACAGAGGCCCCAACATGTGACCAACACAACTGTTCGCACATGCAGCAGCGGCTGAGGAGATGCGGATGGTGACAGCAGAGGAGTTGCGGATCGGTCGAGGCGGTGGGAGTCCGGGGACGCCAATGCGGTGGTGGAAGCGAAGATGAGGCGGGGACAGCAGGGAGGATGGCCCTCTTCTTCGGCAAGGCGGAGATGGAGGACGGCAAGACGCTGGCGGACTACAACCCCTGGCCGACGGCATGGACGCGAGCGCTGTCGTGCGCCAGCAGGTCCCCGCGGCGTCGGCTCTCGCCTGCCTGCCTGCCGCCACCGCGGCCGCCGCCTCCCCGTGCTGGACCAGCGTGTGCTTTGCTTGGTCTGGCGGATCCGGGAGGAGGCGCGGCCGACCGGCGGGATGGTCTGGACAGAGCGGTTGGTTCAAAGCCGGAGGAGAGGGATCCATGGCGTCCTCGACGCGTCCATTGGCGGCGGCGGCGTGGAGCGTTGGGAGTCGGGCATGGTGCGTTTCTTTTTTCCTTGTTCGCAGGCTTGATCCCTGAACCCTGATCGGGACGTGCGTGGGCGTTTGAAGGGAAGAAACAGCCCGCGTGCGTGGGATGGAGGGTGCCGGGTGAGAAGACTGGCATCCCACATCGAATCGTGGCTATCGGATTTGATTTAGGTGTTTTATTAGCCCTTAATTTTAATGGAGATGAATTCCTGTGTGTATTTTTCTGGGTACACAATGGTTGGAAGCTCTCAGCGGGGGACGTTTTCTTGGGGGCGGGGGGATCTAGTATAATTTTGATTGGTCCATTACATAGTAGAGATAGTGCAGCGAACGTAGACTTATCCAAGTTACATTACATAGTATACAGTTTTTAAAAATAAATAAAAAGGTGAAAAATAATAAACTCCTCTCCTTTGCTAGAATCAATCTTCCAAGCCATGATAGCACCATCAGCACTCACTGAGTACATAATGTGTCTCCCTGCCACGAACTCCAAACCATGAAGTTTAAATAGAATTCAGTCCTAAGCCTTGAAAAAGAGGAAAAAGGAACGACATTCAGGACCCGCGATATCAAATTTTCTAGTGCTATATGTTTGCAACCTGTCAGTTGTCAACTAAGACAATTCAAGTTATGGACAAATCATAAAATACAGTAACTTATGGCAGTTGGTAACAAACAGTGTCTTGCGCTTGCAAATGAGTTAAGTATTGAGGGAAAGATAAACATACCATCTGCAGTGAAGGGGCACAAACTCTGTTAACATCCTGAATCACCGCCGAAAAGTAGGTGGGCCAACAATGGGTACTCTTGGAGATGCTCTAAGTCGTATTCACTGGGAATTTAAGAAGAGTTCAATGCACATATATTCATCTTCCATTGCTTGGTTATTTTAAGAAGATAAGACATAGTCTTATTTTAATAAGAACATAGAACAGAGGAGGTGATTGAAGATGAGACTGAGAACCATGACAAAGAAAAGTGAGCCAATAGTAACAAATACAGGTGCAGGTTCAGACTTCCGAAAGAACTGCTCGGTACATCATGTACCTTTTACATCGTTAAAGAATTAAGCCATCGATTTGTCACAAAAAAGGTGCTGATGTTCAACTCTTTTGTTAAAATTTAGAGTGGTGTAATGATGCCAATGTTCACTAGACAGGTTGTATTTTTTATTGAGTTAGCTGAATCACCATGTCAATTGTCAAGTCTGGGAAGCAAAATATTTGTTGTTGATTGACTGCTCCAATCATTCTTTCCAAATTTTTTGTTCTATTGGTTTGCTATCTGCTGCATCTACTCTATAAAGGATCGGATAGGCGATATCCGAATGAACTGAGTCCTTGCCATATCCAAATATGAGAATTCTAAATCCAGTATAGTCCAATTTAAACAGGAGAAAACTGTCACGCAACAATATAGAGAATTATTAGTCAAGAAACAACTATAAAAACGTGCTCAAATGCATTTGTCATTGACAACAGTCTGAAGTAAAAAAAAAAAGTGGGTTTTGAAATCCAAACCAAGAAAAGAAAATTGTTTCAAATTTCTTCAGTTTAACTGAAAGAAATAAAAACAGTTAACTACTTACAGGTAACTTGCCCATTATGTTTTTTGCTAGTGCCCTGCAACTTGGAACTTGAATAATTAATAATTATGAAGCGTGATATCTACTACCAAAAAATGCACAAATAAACTGAGAAAGAGAAGAGACCCAAAACCATGAACCAGCCAAAAAAAGGCCCAAGCACGACAGGCTGCAACACATGAATCTCAGGAAGAACTGAGACAAGCCATCAAGGCATTCTAACTGAGACAAGCCATCAAGCCATCTGTGTTAGGTCTCAGGAAACTTGGTAACTGAGACAAGCCATCAAGAAGCTCCAAAAACAACTATATAGGTGAATGCACGTGCGTTGCAACGGGGACCTAAAAAACGTTATGAAATTACATATTTGGCTAGGTTAAGCTAATGTAAGCTACTGTAGATAATATGACAATGCAGGTTATAAACCAAAGTTTCTCCTTAATTTAACTATATTTCAAAAATGCTCTGTTAAGTCCTTTAACATTAGTGAATATGTTGTAAAATTTTTACATATTAAGTACTTGACTTTCTCCTTAATCTAACAGACATGAGTGATCGAGCAAGTGTTTAGTACCCAGCTTCTTGGAACCTAAGTTTCTCTTTCCCATTCCACCTGAATTCTAACTTTGCTTCTCAACTTATGTAAACAAAGGATCACAAGAAAGAATCTTGCCTAGCCTAAACTCAAACAAAGTTTTGAACCAAAAGCAAAGATGATAAATGAACAATGCTCCAATATCTCAACCACTCATGCTATCCCATTCGACAATTTCTTTTTATTTTTTGAAAAGCCATCAGACAAATGTATTCCTGTAATGTTCAACTCCTATGAAAGCTTCTCAGTTTCAGAAAAATCAAATCATGGCCCATTAGGAATTAAATGGACTTATGTACTCCAACTGCATAGAGTACTAACCATACATTTTCTGCACAAATCCAGGCCATTTCAGAGAGTTTTATTCAAAGAGGGGAAACCTAGCATCTAACTGATTCCTTCTAATATACCTGCAAGAACATTTAAATAAAAATTATATATTAGTTGACGCCAAGAATTTTAGTAAGCTGCATCATCAAAAAAATTAATTACACTAAAAGGATAATTATTCATAGGGTGTTTCATGAAAAATCACATCACAGAGAAATATAAGAGAAATTTCTGGAGCATGCTTTCTTACTCAATCAGGGTTGTTCTTCACTTCAATGTGCTGAAATTGTTAGACGCTCAACTGAAACGGTAGTAAGGGAATCATATGTATCGAAGTCCTCTGATCCCTGGTCCTAGTCTCCTAGATGAGTTTATTCCTAAGTGCAGATAGAATTAGGGATCAGTCGTAGGTACGGACATGAGCGACGACGACGCGCATTAATAAGATAAAAAATGATTAGAGAGACCGGAGGGTGGATGGATGCACGTACGTGTAGAGCTCGGGTAGGAGGCCACGGTCACCGCACATGGAGCAGACGGCGCCGCCCGGCTGCAACCTGCTTCCGCCGGCAGCGGCAGCACCTCGCGGGGACGACGCCTTGCCGCTACCCATGGGAGCAATGGGGATCTCAGGAGACGGATGCGCTGCATGCGATCGATCGGCTGCTCTCTAGGGCGTGGCCATCACGTCGCCAACCTCCGCGATGTGCTCGCTCGCGTGGTGGTTGTCGCGGGGATCTCGCGCTCACGGGATCATCCGTTCCCGTGATGAGGGAGTGAGGGCCTTGATCCTAGCGGGATCAGCAGCGGCGCGGGGTTGGGGATTGCGAGCCAGCGCCAGTGGCCGCCGATTGAGGGTGCGGCGGGGCCCAGTAGGGATTCGGGATCTCCTCCACTGAGAAGACGCGCTCCATGCCGCCGCAGCCGCGCAACCCTAGCCCTGGCGGACTGGCGGCCGGCCCCGACGGCTCTGTGCTCGGCTCCCTGCGGCCTACGGCTAGGCGGCCGACGTTGGGAGAGGAGTAGTAGCACCGCGTGAGGAGTGGAACACGCGTTGGGAGAGGAGTCGGGCACATCGCGCGTGGGGGAGAGATTGAGAAGAGTCGTGCATGGGGCAAACAGGCGTCCATTGGCGGCGGTGTGTGGGAGCGTGGGGAGTCGCAGCGTGGGGCACATTTGAAGCCCGCGTGTGTGGGATGTAGGGCGCGGGGGTGAGAAGCCTGGCATCACACATCGAAGATCGGCCGTCGGATGGATTTTGGTGTTTTATTAACCCTTGATTTTAATGGAGACGAATTTTTGTGTGCATTTTTCTGGGTGCACAATGGTTGGAGGCTCTCAGCGGGGGGCGTTTTTCTGGGGGGACCTAGTATAATTTTAATTGGTCGATTATAGTAGAGATATTGAATGTAACACTAGAAGGATTCATACATAGGATTACAACCAACTTGAGGTGCACTGAGAATGGAAGCCAATTTGCTCATCACCGTATTTTATTTTGTTTTCAGCAAACAAATTAAAATAAAAACCAGCCAAACTTGTCTTATTACACAGGTATACAATACCTCACCACCCATGCTAAAGTGACAATAATAACTGAATTATCCTTGAGCTAGCTCGCCCTTAAAATTAAGGTTGCACCTGGCTTACATGCATGTTTATATTTCAGTATTATAACCAACTTGAGCTGCACTGAAAATGGAAGCAAATTTGCTCATCACCACATTACAAATCCTTTTATTTTGTTTTCAGCAAACAAATTAAAATAAAAACCAGCCTAGCTTGTGTGACACAGGTGTACAATACTTTACCACCCATGCTAAAGTGACAATAATAACGGTTTCATCCTTGAGCTAGCTAGCCCTTAAAATTAAGGTTCTACCTGGGCTTACATGCATGTTTATATTTCGACAGGACATAGGGTACCTTACACCTAAAGCAGTATAAATCTGTGTCCCGTGTACTACCTCACGTCTTACCATCAGGCGGCCATATGTGCCTCCACCCAATTCCTCTCCACATTAGTCAACACTTTTCCTTTGTCAAGGAGGAAGCCATGGCAGCCTGACAGAGACGGCGGGCACCAAGGTAAATTAAGGACCACTACTCATACCAGACACCATGAATCCATGATTCGTCCTCGCTAATTGAATCCTGAGGTTAAACTTCCTGGACCTTGACGAATCATTAGTATTTTAAAATTACTCCTCCATCATAAAATAAGTGCGCATATCATGTTGCGATGAGTCAATGAATCTTAAATTTAACCAAATATATATAAAAATATCAATGTTTGTCACAATAAATAAATATAATTAAATTAATCATGTAATATATTTTTAGTAAATCTATTTAACGACAATACAAATGTCGACATTATTTTTGTAAACATAGTCAAACTTAAAATTAGTTGAATTCTTACAATGCGAGATGTGTATACTTATTTTAGAAGAAAAATGTGCACTCTTTGCATCCCATTCAGAAAAATAAATAGCAGTACTTTTCAGCGAACGAACAGTGTTTTTCCATCACAAGAAATCAGCATAAACCAAATTTTAGCAAAACCAACAGGGCCGTATAGCACCGTATTTCAGAATGACGAATGCTTATATCATTTATGCTGGGCCGTGGGCCCCGGTCTGCACATCAGCTTGTGCTCTGCTCCGCGGCCACCACCCAAGACCCAAGTCCTCTCCACATCGTCAGCGCTTTTCCTAGGCCGTGGGCCCGTTGCATAGGCGGCGGGCAACGAGGCAAATTGAGGACCACTTGTCACACCAGACACGCGTGTAGTGGAAACCTGAAGCTGAAGTTAAACTCCTCGCTGGCCTGGACCGTGACCAGTCATCAATATTTTAAAATTGCGCTTTTCTTCTGCATCGTGTATTGCAGGTTGAAAAGAAAAAAGAAAGAAACAGTTGGGGTATGCTTGGAACTTTTCATGCACAAATACATGGCAGACCCTCACAACAGGAAACGGCTGATTTACCGGGAGCAAAAAAAATTTGCCGGGTGCTTTTTATCGGGCACCCGGCAAAGAAATTCTTTGCCGGGTGCCAGGCCTGGCGGCACCCGGCAAATAAAGGCCTCCGGCAAAGCAGCCTTTGCCGGGTGCGGGCACTCGGCAAATTCCAGCCGTCGGCAAAAATTGGTTTTTGCCGGGTGCCGGCCACTCGGCAAAATATGGCCGCCGGCAAAAGTGGCCGGCTTGACGGTGGCCAGCTGCCGTCAGCCTTTGCCGGGTGCCACGCCGTTAGGCACCCGGCAAAGAATTTTTTTAATTTTTTTTTAAATTTCTTTGCCGGGTGCCCAGGGTGGCACCCGGCAAATTATTTTTTTGTTTTTGTTTTTTTGACCCCATTTTTTTTGTGGGGACTTGCTACAGTAAATATATCCCTATTTCAAAATTTGGGACAATTATGAGTTTTTTAACTATATTTCCTTAATTTTTCCGTTTCATTGAATTTTTTGAGCTATTCTAAATTTGAGCTGCTGCGGTACATGAAATAATGGAATTTGGTCATTCAAAAAATAGTATTCATGATATTTAGGCTATGTCGAGGCCGTATGCAGGAAGTGGCATGAAATATACGCGCATCATGTTGTCGTAAAAACATGAGTTTTGATTTACTCATGAGGAAGTTTATTTAAATTATATAAAATCAAGCGATGTCGAAAATTCGAAACTTGTCGATGTGTCTTGTTATCACATCATGAGGCATCCTGGTAAAAATTGAAAATTTTTGAGCAAGTTGCGGCGTCTCGACATAGCCTAAATATCATGAATACTATTTTTGAATGACAAATTCATTATTTCATGTACCTGTAATTCAAATTTGGAATAGTTGAAAAATTCAATGAAACAAAAAAAATTAAGGAAATATAGTTAAAAAGCTCATAATTGTCCTAAATTTTAAAATAGGGATATATTTATATGTAGTAAGTCCCCTAAAAAAATGGGGTCAAAAAACAAAAACAAAATAATTTGCGGTGCCACCCCGGCACCCGCAAAGAAAGCTTTTGCCGGGTGCCGTGTCATGGGTCACCCGAAAAGAAAAAAAAAAATTCTTTTGCCGGTGTGCCGTCACACTGGCACCCGGCAAAGGCCATGACAAAAAAGGCCGCCCACGTCCCAACCCTAATCTATTCCAGCAGACGGTTCGACCCGCGCTGCGCTCGCCGCCCGCCGCCGCCGCCGCCGCCGCCCGCTGCCCTCGCCTCTCGCGCTCCGTCCAGCTGATGGGGCTCGCCTGGTTTGAGAAGGGCCGGTCCGCCTCGAAGACGCGCTGCGGGCCGCCCCGGCCCCCCGTCTCGCGTTCCAGATCAGGCGGGCCGCCCTGGGCTCCGCCGGGAAGCCGCCACTCGGGGCGGCCGTCTGCGGTCCTCCTTGTCCGACGGCTCCGATGCTGCCGACGAGGACCCCAGGTGCTTGATCAGGAACCTTGACGACGGCAGAGAGTACGTGGTGAGGGAAGAATTCGGTCTCCGCGAGGTCGGCACGGGGCTCCGCAGCATCCGCTGCGCAGCTGGCTCCTTGGTCACCCACTCCCGTGACCGCCGCAGCAGAGACGAGAAGGACACGTCTTCAGAGAAAGGCGGCCAACACTCCAGCTCCGCGACGGATGACAGCCAGGACAGTGTTCCACGCCATGGCCCCGCCCGAGTCAAGGTGCGGCAGTACGGGAAGTCACATAAGGAGCTCAGTGGCCTGTTTATGACGCAGCAGATACATGCACACAATGGTTCCATCTGGAGCATCAAATTTAGTCCTGATGGCCGTTACCTTGCGAGTGCCGGGGAGGATTGCATAATTCATGTTTGGGAAGTGTTGGAGTTCGAGAGGGCAGGGAAGGAGAGGGAGGTGAAGGAGAACGGGGTGTGCAATCCACTTGTTGCTATGGTGTGCAATGAGTCATCAGAGACGATGGTGGCATCAGCTGCTCCAAGTGGGAGCCATTGGGAGAAGAAGCTGCGATCAAAGGTACTGCACAGTGGGGGATCAGTGAGCTCAGACAGGTTGATGGTGCCTGAGTATGTGTTTGCACTGTCCGAGAAGCCTGTGATAACCTTTGCAGGGCATTCAGAGGATGTGCTTGATCTCAGCTGGTCCAAATCTCAGGTAATGTACACACATTTCTAATTTATCTTCAATTCTAATGTGTAAATATTAATTTTCAGTGTAAATGCAAAGTTCAGACTACAATAGAATGTGGAATACCTGAAAGTAGGATATCAGTCACGGAAATTAGATCCGAACATAACTCATTAAGAACACAAAAGCTGTGTAATAACAATATGTCATATTAGAAACATCGTGATCACACACCAGCTCAACTTATTTATTGTTGGGTTTGGGCGTACATAACTTGGCATCCAGATCTGGCATAGTGCAACTGGTGCACTGTCTGGAAAGGAAAACTTGACCAGCTGCCATTTATGCATTTTCGTTTTTGCGATAGGTAAATTGACTTTATTGCTCCCACGTGTACCCAAGCTTTTACCATGTGCATAAGACCCAGGTGCTCTCTACATGTAACTAAGACATGGTCTCTACACGCTTATACATTGCCATTTTACTATGGTTTTAATTTCCGTCTCAGTGCATCTAGAAAGTTCAGCACGTAAAAACTAAGCAGGAATTACACTGCAGGTTCCTAAACTTGCCTGGTCGTCTCAACTAACCCCTCAAACTTTTAGAGCCCCTTGAACTTGCATGGGTCTCACCAAAACCCCTGAACAGAAGCAAAGTTTAGGGGGTTAAATCAGACAACTGTGCAAGTTTAGGGGCTAGGTGTGACAACTGTGCCAGTTGAAGGAGATGAGAAAGTAATTTGCAAGTTTGCCTGGCTAGCCGGCTAGCCGGCTAGGTGACTACCGCTACCGCACAAGTTCAGAGACCTACAACACAGTTCTTTCTTAACTTATTGGCATTTGGAGAACCTATTGTCTATGATCTGGATGATATTTTTGTGTGCTGTCAAAATGTAGATATTTGAGTCCTACATTTGAATGTCAGCTAACCAGTTTCATGATACTGAACTGGAATTGAAAGTTTTTTCCCCCTGTGTTTTTTACCCGTAAGATTCCGATTTTGTTAATCGATATTCATTCTTTCTCTGCATCAGATCAAAGAAGGTATTAAGCTTGTCAAGAGAGTTGTAATTTACTTCCTCTGTTCCAAAATGTACACTGTTTTAGCTTTGACCTAAACCAAACTTCTCTAATTTTGACCAAGTTCATAGAAAAATGATCCAACATCTACAGCATCATATTAGTTTCATTAAATCCAACATCAAATATGTCTTGACAATGCTTTTATTTGGCATTGTAGATGTTAATATATTTGTCTATAAACTTGGCCAAAGTTAGAGAAGTTAAATAGAATAAGTTAACTTTGATGTAGTGTAGGTTTGCCTCTGTCAGACCTCTTTTTTGAATAGTTTATGGATAGCAAATACTTTGACAAAATCATGAATTAGGTATTCTATATCTCTAAGATGAAATGAGATTTGTCTTGTTTTAAATGGATAAATCTTGGTTTTAAAAGTGCAAATTAACTATTCCATTGGTATTTATTTAGGAATCAGTGCTCATAACTAGTCAAGCTACTCTGTACTCAAATACACTGAAAGCATATGCGGACAGCCAGACACCATGCACAGCATTTTTGTTTTTTTTTTGCTAGGTACTTGTCTTGCTCGTCTCTTGGTATACTTGCTGCTGTTAGTAAAGGCATATCCATTTCTACAGCATGTTGAATTTGAAGTATAATTATTATGAATTCATTGTAGTTTCCTGCTAGTTCAGCATCCCTTATATCCATCTTTTAGTTCCTGCAGTATTTGCTTTCATCATCAATGGATAAAACAGTACGGTTGTGGCACATGTCAAGCACTTATTGTTTGAAAACCTTCTCACACACTGACTATGGTACGAACATCACTTCAGAATCACCCCACCCCGTCCCTCTCACTGTCTAAGCACTGCAACAACATTGTCCGTCTAATATAATTTCTTTTTGATTCAGTGACTTGCATCCAGTTCAATCCTGTTGATGATAGATACTTCATTAGTGGTTCCCTGGATGAAAAGGTTCGTATCTGGAGTATTCCAAAGCGTGAAATTGTTGATTGGGTCGATCTTCATGAAATAGTTACTGCTGCCTGCTATACTCCAGATGGAAAGGTTTGAATTTGATCTATTTCATAGTTTCTTAATTTTGGTCAAGTGGAGCTGCTAGTTGTTCATCCTAATACCTTAAGATGTTGTCTCAGGGCGCGCTGGTTGGGTCCCACAAGGGCAGTTGCCATCTGTACGATACATCTGGTACATCGGCTTGCATTTTAGTTCTGTTCTCAACTCTCATTCAAAGACCTTATTTCCTGTTCGGTGTCTTGCAAGCCTAACCTTATATTTTTCCTTTCTCCTGGCTAGATGACATGCTTTGCTACAAAACACAGATCGACCTGCAAAACAAGAGAAGAAAATCTAGCCAGAAGAAAATAACAGGATTTCAGGTGCTTATTTTGACTAAACATTGTGTTGTGATGTGAATCATTCTGCACCAGAGTTAAGATATTTTTGGTTTGTTAAACTGAATAATAGCTCCTTAAACAGTTTGTCCCAGGGGATTCTTCAGTGGTCATAATCGCATCTGCAGATTCATCCCAGCTTTGCTGAGTGCCAGGGCTAGGGCACCCGGCAAAGTTTTTTCAAAAAAAAAAAAATTCTTTGCCGGGTGCCCCATGACCTGGCACCCGGCAAAGAAATTACGAAAAAAAATAAAAAACTCTTTGCCGGGTGCCCCCGCGGTGCGACACCCAGCAAAGAAATTATAAAAATAAAATAAAAAAATCTTTGCCGGGTGCCTCCCCGGCACGGCACCCGGCAAAGAAAATTTGAAAAAAAATTAAAAAAATCTTTGCCGGGTGCCTCTGACATGGCACCCGGCAAAGCAAGGGATGACAGAGCCGGCGCCGTAACGACCACTTTTCTTTACCGGGTGCCGGGTTTGCACTCGGCAAAGTCTTTGCCGGGTGCCCGATAAAAAGCACCCGGCAAAGAAATCTTTGCCGACTAACTTTTTGCCGGAGGCTCTTTGCCGAGTGCTACACCCGGCAAAGGCTTTGCCGAGTGCAAAGTAGCCTTTGCCGGGTGCATTCGGCACCCGGCAAAGCGCCTGAATCCAGTAGTGCCTGCCCTTCAATCCATGGGCTCACATCAGACAAAGTATGACAGAAGCTGGCAATGGACCTCTCACTATTATTAATGTTGAATACTAGTACTAGAGAAGGATTCATACATACTAGGACTAGAACCAACTTGAGGTGTACTGAAAATGGCAGCCAATTTGCTCATCACCACACTACAATTCCTTTTATTTTGTTCTGAGCAAATTAAAGAAAGAAATTAAAATATTAAAAACCAGCCAAACTTCTCTTTTACACAGGTACACAATGCCTCGCCATTCCAAGCTAATAAAGTAGCTAGTGACAATTAATAATAACGGTCTTATCCGTGAGCTAGCTCGCCCATAAATTAATAAGGTTCTACTACAAGGGCTTACAGGCAGCAAGCTTACATCGTGCGACTGACAGTACATGGAAAATAGTAAAAGGCAACAGCTACTACACACGACAATTATGCAGAAACAGAGCCACATTATTTGCGTTGATTGCGGACGAACGTACGGGTCCGTCGTCGGAGGAGGAAAATAATCACGAACCATCGACTGATGATGGAGGGAATTCACGGAGATGGAGGATCATTTCAGGCGGCGGTGATGGCCGCTCCGGTGGTGATGGGGACGCTGTGGAGCACGACGGTCTCGACGGTGAGCCCGGGGCCGAAGCCGAAGAGGACGCCCCAGTCGAACCCCTCCCCCGTGGTGGCCTGCCCATCCTCGGCGGAGCGCTTGCGCATCTCGTCGAGGATGAAGAGCACGCAGGCGCTGGACATGTTGCCGTACTCGGAGAGCACGTGGCGCGTCGCGCGCATCAGCTCCTTGTCCAGGCCGACCTTGGCCTCCACCTGGTCCAGGATGGCGGGGCCACCGGGGTGCGCCACCCAGAAGATGGAGTTCCAGTCGGTGATGCCCAGCGGCTTGAACGCCTCCTCCAACGCGCGCTCGATGTTCTTGGAGATGAGTCCGGGCACGTCCTTGAGCAGGTGGAATGTGAGCCCGACCTCGCGGAGGTGGCCGTCGATGGCGCCCTCGGAGTCCGGCAGGATGGTCTGCGCCGCAGACACGAGCTGGAACAGCGGCCGCTCCACGCGCTCGTCGGGGTCAGCGCCCACGATGACCGCCGCCGCGCCGTCGCCGAACAGCGCCTGCCCGACCATGGAATCGAGGTGGGACTCGCTGGGCCCGCGGAACGTGACGGCCGTGATTTCGGAGCACACCACTAGAACCCGCGCCCCGCGGTTGTTCTCCGCGAGGTCCTTGGCCACGCGCAGCACCGTGCCGCCCGCGAAGCACCCCTGCTGGTACATCATCAGGCGGTTCACCGAGGGCCGCAGGCCCAGCATCTTGGTGAGCTGGTAGTCGGCGCCCGGCATGTCGACGCCGGAGGTGGTGCAGAAGACGAGGTGGGTGATCTTGGATTTCGGCTGCCCCCACTCCTTGATCGCCTTCTGCGCCGCGGCCTTGCCCAGCTTGGGGACCTCCACCACCACGATGTCCTGGCGCGCGTCCAGCGACGGCGCCATGTACGCGCACATGTTGGGGTTTTCCGCAAGGTACTCCTCCGTCAGGTGCATGTACCGCTTTCGGATCTGCGACTTGTCGCCTGCACCAGGACAGTCATGTCATGTTCATGTCAGAGTCAGAATCAACCCACGTACCGTCGTCGTCAGTCGTCAAGGCATGCCATGCCATGCCATGCTAGAGCACGGACGTCAAGGCAAGACCGCTGTCGTCGGTCAGTTTCTAGCCTTTTGCCTACGAGAAGTTGCTAGCTCTGCTAGCTGCTGGCTCGTCGTCGTCCACGCAACGACAGGCCAATCGAAAAAAAGAGAAGGGTCGGTCGAATCAACCCAGAGTGGTGGTTAGGTACGGTGGTGTGCGAAGACTGTGCCGAACTAACAAGAGAATTCTGCAGTACTAGTGCTTAACACAGGAGTCCTAATTAAAATACATAGTCATGAGTGTCTGCTTGTGTCACACAGCAGGAAAACTTTTGGAATCAGTAAAAAACGAAGAGACAACCGTAGTCTTATACTCTTAAGTGGTAAAAATATTCAGAGTAATTAACTTGGTCGTCAGTGGTGTAAACTGTGTGACTGGCGCGAGCACGGTGAAACACCTGGAAGCTGCTACTAGCTAAGCTAATGCCTAGTCGACCGACCCACGAGGAAAAAAAAAGCAGGAGACGACGATGTGAGTGATCAAGTTTCTTGACTGCTGTGTAGAGCTGAGCGAGCGATGGAGACGACGACGACAGATAGAGACAGAGAGACTGAGAGAGAGATACTCACACATCCTCTTGAACTTCTCCTTGAGGTCGGTCATGTGCTCGCTCTTGGTGATCCGGAAGTAGTAGTCCGGGTAGTCCGCCTGGTACACGCAGTTGGCGGGCGTCGCCGTCCCGATCGCCAGCACGGTGGCCGGACCGGTGGCGCGCTGCGCCTTCCTCACCTCCTCCACGGTCACAGTCGCGCCGGCCATCGTCTCCGTCCGCTCTTTCTCTCTACGTTGTACCACAGACTGCAGCAGGTCGATCGATCGGCCGCTAGCTACTCCGACAGCAGCAGCACTTCGACAGGTCGGTCGCCGGCAGGCTTTCCGGATCCTCGGAGCGAGAGAGCTAGCTGTAACTGCGAGCGAGCACTGTGGATGGATGATCGGAGGCAGGAGGGCTAGCTGCGCTTGCTGTAATGGCAGAGGAGGCCCGCGGGGTCGTTATATAGCCATGCGGGCCGAGGGCAGGCGACAGGCGAGGCGGACGGGTAATCAATCGGGTTAGGTCAGTTGGACGGGCGGCGTCGTCGCCACGTGTGCGGCGACGACTGGGAGGTAGCGGCGCCCGCGCACACGGCTCGCCCATTGGGAGCCCCGGGGTTAGTCGGGTCGCGTGGCCAGTAGTATAGCGCTAGTATGCGGTTGGGGCGCAGCAGCTAGCACACCCAGCAGCCAGTCAGAGGTAGCCAACAGAGAGGCGCGTAGCTAGCTAGCGGCGGTTCCCGTCGTCGGTCTCGTCCACCCGGTGGTCAGCTACCACCACTACCGCAAACCTCAAATTTACCGAGTGTTTTTATGTTTGCCGAATGTATTTTCTCGTACACTCAACAAATAAATTCTTTGCCGAGTGCTGTGCTAAAAAAGTAAAAATACTCGGCAAAATAAAAACCCTCGGCAAATAGGCGGGTTTGCCGAGTGTCAAAAAAAACACTCGGCTAAGAGAGGGGTTCGCCGAGTGTCAAAAAGAAACACTCGGCAAAGAGAGAGTTTGCCGAGTGTCGAAAAAGAAACACTCGGCAAAGATGAAAAAAAACCACACGCCGCATAAAAAATCCCCTCCCGTTCCCACCCTCCCCTCCCTCTCGCCCCAGCTCGCTCCCTCCCCGGATCCCACCGGCGACCGACCCCTCCCCTCCCTCTCTTCCCCGGCGCCGCCCTCTCTTCCCCGGCGGCCGGCCCCTCCCTCTCCTTCCCTGCCGCCCCCTCTCTCTCCCCGGATCCGGCCGCCGCGCCGCCCCTCCCCTCCGGATCCGGCCGCACCGCCTCCCTCCCTCGCTCTCCTTCCCCGCCGCCTCCCACCCTCCCTCCCTCCCCCCTCCCGGATTTCCCCGGATCAGGCCGCCCCTCCAGATCCAGCCCCGCCGCCTCCCTCCTCCTCCCTCCTCCTCCCCTCTGGATCCGCGCGCTGGCATGGGTGGTGGTGGAGGTGGTGGCATGGATGTAGGCGGAGGCATGGGTGGCGGTGGAGGTGGTGGCATGGGCGGTGGCGGCATGGGTGGTGGTGGCGGAGCAGGAGGTGGCCTTGGTGGTGGTGGCGGAGCAGGCAGAGGAGGCGGGCTTGGTTCGTTCGTTCCTTGGCTCTCGATCTCAATCGGCAGCAGGGCTCCTCCATTCCCCCGCTCCAAGATCTTCCCCCTGTTCTTCCGTCTCCAGCCCGTAGAAATCCTTGGTGGAGCTGCAGAAATTTGTAGCGAGAGAGGTGGATTTCTCTTCCCTTTTGACTGGTTCGTCA